ATAGAGCACACTTTGTCTGTACATGATTTAAAATAGTATTTGCGGTATTTTTCGCGTAACTAAAGCGGGAGAGAGATAATTAGCGATAGAAAACAGCCAAGAGAGATGCTGTTCTTCTTGATAAGCGAAGAGAGAGAGAGAGAGAGAGAGAATGACTATCCCTAGCGGTAGCCGACAATCAAGAGGGCACGACTCGCCTTGGCGGTAGTCAAATCAAAAAGCGTACGACTGGCCCTAGCGGTGGCCAAATCAAGAGAGAATCTTTCGTCTTTGCTATCTTAAAACTGTCTGTATTTGTAATGGAGTGGGGTTAAAATGTAAGTCATCATCATCAATCAGCCAATCGCGTCCACTGCTGGACATAGGCCTCCCTCAGTTCTTTCCAGTGTTCTCTACACTGGGCCGCTTGTAGCCAGTTTCCCGCTACACGTTTAATGTCATCGGTCCATCTAGTCGGTGGTCGTCCTCGGCTTCTTTTATAATTTCTGGGCCTCCATTCCATAATACGTCTTGTCCACCGTCCATCTTTTGTTCTGGCTAAGTGCCCTGCCCAGTTCCACTTAAGCGTCGTGGTTCTTTCGATGACGTCTTGAACTCCTGATCTTCGCCTGATTTGTTGGTTTGTTATGTGGTCTCGAAGGCTCACGTTCAGCATTGCACGTTCCATGGCTCGTTGTGTAACTCTAAGTTTATTCGCAGATTTTTGCGTGAGTATTAAAGTCTCTGCTCCATAAGTTTGTACATTGGTTATAAACCTTTCGCTTGAGACACATGGGAATTGAACTTTTTAGAATATGGCTTAATTTGCCAAATGCTGCCCATGTTAGACCTATTCGCCTCTGTATTTCATGTGTTTGATTGTCTCTGCTTATTTTGATTTCGTGTCCCAGATATTTGTAAGTGTCTGTTTGTTGTATGGTATTATTGTCAATAGTTATATTTCCACTCATTACGAGATTTGTTATAATTTTAGTTTTCTCAAAGTTTATCTTTAATCCTGCTCTTTCAGACAGACTTTTAAGCGAATGCATCATAGAAACTGTATCATGTAAGTTATCTGCGATTAATACAACATCATCTGCAAACCTTAGGTGATTTAATCTTTCTCCATCTATATTGATGCCCATATCTTGCCATTGAGTACCATTAAATATTGACTCTAGAGCTGCCGTGAACAATTTTGGTGAAATATTGTCTCCTTGTCTAACTCCTCGACCTAAGCTGAATTTTTCTGTGTCTTCGTGCAGTCGTATACTTGATGTAGCGTTCTGATAGATGTTTTTGATTAGTGTCGTGTACCTGTAATCTATTCGGCTTTGATTTAGGGCTTCCAGTATTGTTTCAAACTCTACAGAATCAAAAGCCTTCTCGTAATCGACAAATGCAAGAACCAGTGGTATGTTGTACTCGATGCACTTTTCTATTAAGATCTTTATGGTATGCAAATGGTCATTTGTGCCATATCCTGCCCTGAAGCCTGCCTGTTCTTTGGGCTGATAGAAATCAAGTTTAGGTGTTAGCCTCTTTGTTAAGATTTTCATAAAGAGTTTGTACATATGTGTCAAGAGGCTGATGGGTCTATAATTTTCTAATTTAGTAATATCGCCTTTTTTATCGCCATGTAAGCATTTAGTAAACAGTTCGCTTACTGATTTTAATAAAATTTCTCCACCTGCTTTTATTGCCTCGATAACGAGTCCATCATCACCAGGCGATCGATGGTTCTTCATTTCCTTTAAAGCTGCTCTTACTTCTGACACAGTAATGGGTAAAAGTATTTCCGATCCCTGATTTATGAGAGTCTTTACTCGTGTCGGGAAATTGTCTTGTGGTCTTTGGCTGGTATAGAGGTCTTTATAAAATTCTCTATTTATTTTCAGAATGTTTTGTTTATCTGTTGTTGCCTTTCCGTCTTTATCTCTCAGCTTGTATATTTCTTTTTTACTTTGCGTAAGTTTTCTTTTCATTATCTTTAAACCTTTGTTCTCTTCTACTGTTTGAGTAATTACATTAGTATTATATCTTCTTACATCTTTTCTAATTTCCGCTGAAATTCTTTTATTTAGTTTTTTATATTCTTCTTTGTTTCCCTTTTCGTTCTCACTTAGGTTTCGTCGTATTTCCATGAGAGCCCTTGTATCTTTGCTAATCTTTTCACTTTTGGTGTCATTTTTCTTGCAAAATTTGAGTTGTGCGTTTCTGACTGAGTCTGTTATTAATTTATTGTGATCGTCGATATTTAGAGGTTTGGGATTATTACTCTGTAAAGTTTCGGCTATATTTCTTATGTATGCTTCTGGATGATTTGGTGAATTCCAAACTATGCGTTTACAACTGTTTATCATCTTTGCTCTTTCTTTTTGTAGATTGATCGTTACTCTAGCTCTTACTGGTCTGTGGAAGTAAAATGTAAGTAGGAAGGGTTATTAAGGGTTGGACTAAGATAATGATGGTAAAATTGTGATATAAGGATAGTTAAAAATACAGCGAAAAAATGACATGATTTACTGAAGTATGTTAGAAATTATAACCTAACCTGTTTGTGAACACGTGGTTTAACGGATCAACCTCTGATTTTGTTTACCATAGACCGTTCACACAAATTGGTTGAGTTTACCGAAAAAGAAGTAGTTGTAGAAAAGTACATTTTGTTTATATTATGTTATAAATTCTGCAATTTTTGATTTTTATAAAACAAGAAGGAGTAAGTATTTGTTTCTTTGGAGATTAATTGCAGTTAATAAATTGGAATTTTTTTTTGGCCATTGCCCTTTGATAGATTAGTGGATAGATTTGGCAATCGTCATATCAGCAGTTGCCAGATTACAACAGATGTTTGCAATTAATCTCGAAAGAGACAAATATTTACTCGTTATAGCTTCATATAAATTAAAAAATGTAGAGTTTATAAAATAGTATAATCAAAATGTACTTTTTAAAAGCTTTCTCTCTTTATATTTGAAGCATACAACATATGCATTATAATAACATTCCAACAGTGCCAAACCCAAATATTTTTGACATTTGCGGCTATATTCAGCTTGTACCTTCGGTAAACTCAACCCACAAATTTATACATAAGAAAGCACGGTAAATGCGATCCTACACGAGCCACAGCTTTAGAAACACGACACTTCGCAGTGGCCTGATAGGTATACACGGTCCCAGATAAAACTAGAGTGTATACCAGTGTGGTATACATGGGGCTTAATGTGTTCACAAAGACGTGCATCTTCGTCTTGTAGATCATTTTCTATCATCTGCATACTTCACGGCTCTTCGCTACTTTGGATTAGTGTATCTTCTTTTCTAGTCGTAGAATAGTATCATCATCATCAATTAGCCTATATTTGTCCACTGCTGAACGTAGGCCTCCCGTAAAATTTTCCACCTATTTCTATCTTGAGCTTCTTGCATCCAGTTGGTGGTGATGCGCTTGATATCATCCGTCCATCTAGTCGGTGGTCGTCCTCTGCTTTGATATGCACATTGCCTTGGTCGCCATTTCAGAATCTTTCTGGTCCATCTATCATCCGTTAATCTGGCAACATGTCCGGCCCAAGCCCATTTAGCCATGACTATTTTTTCAACTGCATCTGTGACTCCTGTTCTTCTTCTTATTTCTAGGTTTAGTACTTTATCTCTAATGGTAATACCTAATATTGATCTTTCTATAGCGCGTTGTGTAACTCTTATTTTATCTATTGTTCTTTTTATCAGAGTCAGTGTTTCTGCACCATATGTAAGAACTGGTAAAACGCACTAGTTAAAAACCTTTCTTTTTAAACAAACTGGGATACTAGACTTGAAAATGTTATTCAATCTACCAAAGGCACCCCATATGAGACCTTTCCTTCTTTGTATTTCAGTTGTCTGGTTATCTCAGCCTAAGCGAATCTCATGCCCTCGATATTTGTAAGCTATTACTTAGGCTCTCAATCAGAATTTTACCGCTGGGTTGGTCATAAATTTTGTCTTTGAGGTGTTAATTTTAAGACCAATTGTTTTTGACACTTAGAGCGTCTAGAGCGTATACAGCATTTTTGTAGCTTTATCAACTTATCAGATATTAAAACGATGTCATCGGCAAATCTTGGGTGATTTAGATCTTCCCCATTTATATTAATTCCCATATTATCCTCTCGTTCCATTTGCTTGAACATATATTCAAGAACAGCTGTAAACAATTTATTGGAGGTAGTATCACCCTGTCTAACTCGACGTTCTATTCGAAACTTCTTGGCATCTTCATGAAGGCGGACACAAGCTGTACCAGTTTCGTAAATACTTTTAATCAAGGCGATATATCGGTAGTCAATGCGGCAGTCAGCCAATGCTCGAATCATTTTAAGATGATCTATAGTATCGAACGCCTTTTCATAATCTACGAATATAAGAAAGATAGGCTTGTTATCCTCTGTACACTTTTCTATTAGCGTTTTTATAACTTGTAGATGATCATTTAGTCCGTATCTGGAGCGGAACCCAGCCTGTTCACAAGGTTGATAACTATCATCCAGTTTGTTCACAAGCCGTTTTGTTATTATCTTCATGAATAGTTTGTATGTATGGGAGAGCAAACTAATAGGTCTGTAGTTCTTTAGGTCTGAAATGTCACCTTTTTTGTGCATTATGGTTATTATTCCATTATACCACTGGGAGGAGGTTACGCCTCTTGTCAAACAAACATTGAACATCTTTTTCAACACATTTAGTAACGTTCCTCCTCCTTCTTTTATTTGTTCAATGACTATCCCATCTTCTCCAGGTGATTTATTGTTTTTCATCTCCGAGAGAGCTGTAGAATAGTATACAGCATAATTAATATAGAAAATATATCAGATATACGATTACCAGATTGAATGTTCCATGATATCATCTCCAGCATAATTAACATATATTTTTAGAAAAATATATTATCAGATATACGATTACAAGATTGAGTGGTACAATGTGTGCTATATTATATTACTGTTTTACTTAGAATGATCTCTTTGTAGGGTATGTTTCCACAACAGTATAGTAATATGCAGAGCGGCATGGGGCAGCAGTATGGTAATTACGGTGGCAATCCCCAGTCTATGATGCAAAGTAATATGCAGAGTAATCAACAAATGATGCAAGGAGCACAGGGTAATATGTTTGCCGGTCAGCAACAAGGTAAGTACTTGTTAATTGTATCTTTTGGCGGAGGTTTGCAATCATCATGGCTATTGTGATCTTAGATGATGCTGTCCTGAAAAGTTAGATAGATGAGCATCTATAACATTCCCGCAAGCTCGCAGTCATTCTTCTCGGCTTCTCGGTTCCTACACTTCTCCTTCCCTGGATTTGCTTTGCATAAATTAAGCACTTAATATCTTTCGTCATGTATAACATGTCTCATATACTGCAGCTTTCTGGTTTTGATCGTTTCTATTATTTCCGAACTCTTGTGCATTCTTCTCATGATTTCACTGTTTATTACATGATCAATCCATGATATTTTCATGAATCTCCTGTATACCCATAATTCAAATGCTTCCAGTTTCTTAATTGTCAATACATTTAAGGTCCACGCCTCCATTCCATATAGTAGTGTCGAAAAAACATAACACCTTGCCAACCTAACTCTTAAATCTAGCTTCAGATCCCTTGTACCGGCTGGTCCAATAAGCCGATCTCTCGGCTATATATCAGAAACTATTCATGTTATAACTTTAAGAGAAAAATTCCTTAGTAAAAGTGGCCAAGAGAAATCGCTGGAAATAACTTTCAAGTTTCTGGGTTAACCGCTAGATGGCGTAACCTGTGAGGAAATTTTTGAAAACCAGTTTTTTGGGAAATATACCCAATTATACCAAGTGTTAAATAAGTAAACTAGAAAGAGGCCTAAATTCTGCACAAAATTGTTCAAGTACTTTTTTTTTTATTTTTTCAAATAAAGGGTGGGGGAGAGTCGGAAAGTATTTGTGGATAAATACCTATAACTTTGGTTTGGATCAACCGATTTTAACGACATTAGTGTCATTAGAAAGAGTGTGGATGAATTAACTTACATCTTTTATAAAATAATTGCATTTAGTTTTAATTGTCATAGGTAGAGAGTACTTTCGAATAGAAAAAATTAAAATTTGTTTTTCTTCAAAATGTTTAATGGAAACACCTATTTATTGTAAATTATAATGGAACTGGATTAAATTCGTAACAAAATGGCGCAAACCGCATGTTAATAGCTTCATATTGTTTATTTATTGACAGCAGTCAAAACATTGTTAAGAAGTGTTATATTGTAATTCGAATTGAAGATTGATTGAAGAACTTTTTTCAATAGATATTAATATTGATAATATTAGTAATTAATTATCAGTACTAATAATTCGTGATAAGTATATCAAATGCAGAATTGTATGATATGATTGTATTTTATTTCGAATGTCACCAAAATGCCGCTATTGCCTCACGTATATATTCTGAAAGATATCCTGACAGGAGACATTATGGCAAAAAAGTATTTGAAAGAAAGGCAAGAAGATTAAGAGAAACTGGTAGTTTTCATCGTCCTTGTTTTAAACGACGTAGTAGAGGTATGACCGAAGATAATTCAATCAATGTTCTTGCTTTAATTCAACAAAATCCACATATAAGTAGTCGGCAAGTCTCTATAGGATTAAACATACCCAAAACTACTATTCTAAGAATTTAAAACATCACAGGTTGGTTGGAACAAACTTGAAATTTCCTTTAAACTTTAGATTCAACTGATATTTTAATATACCGATAAAAACGGCAACACTGCGCTTTTATCCTTTTATCCGTTTCTTAAAAATACGTATGCACGATTTATCTTGTGAAACAATTGTGGATTTTTCAAGATTTTTTGAGTTTTAGTAAATATAGTGGTTTCTTTTTCACCAATATTTGTTGTTTTGTTTTTAGACTGCATCCTTGTTATGTAGTTCTCCACCAAGCTTTAGATGAGAGAGATTTTGATGCAATTCTGAATAACTGCAATTGGATGTTAGGTCTGCTAGAAGAACAACCGCATATTATGTCAAAGATTTTGTGGACAGACGAGGCTACGTTTAATAGTGCGGATGGTGTTAATCTGCATAATATGCATTATTGGGCCGAAGAAAATCAGCACTGGATACATAAGGTGCAGGTTCAAGGTAGATGGAGTCTTAATGTTTGGTGTGGTATAGTTGATGGAAAGATCATAGGTCCATATTTCTTTGATAGAACTTTAAATGGCGAAACATATTTGGATTTTCTGGAAAATCAGTTGCCTGTTTTATTGGAAGATATTTCCTTACAAACAAGAAGAGATATGATATTACAACATGACGGGTGTCCTGGGCACTTTTCCTGACGAGTTCGAGATTATTTGTATGCAAGTTATCCAAATAAATGGATTGGAAGGGGAAGTATATCTTCATGGCCAGCTAGATCTCCAGACTTAACATGTCTGGACTTTTATCTGTGGGGAAGATTAAAGGACTTAGTGTACCAAACTCGACCAACCATGCGAGACAACATGAAACAGCGCATTATGAACGCAATAAATAGTATATCAACAGCTGAGATTGAAGCAGCTGTTATGTCTACGCGCGAAAGATTACATCTTTATGTGGACAACGATGGAAAACAATTTGAACATTTAATTAGACATTGAGTTTTAATGATCGAGATATTTTTATGATCTTTCACATATTTAATTTTAAGTTAAAATAAAGAGTGAGTCAATACTATACTTACTTATGTTTATTCATATCTCAAGTTCGACAAAAGCTATCAACAAGCGGTTTGCGCCGTTTTGTTACGAATTTAATCCAGTTCCATTATAATTTACAATAAATAGGTGTTTCCATTAAACATTTTGGAGATAACCAAATTTTAATTTTTTCTATTCGAAAGTACCCTCTACCCAGGACAATTAAAACGAATAGCAATTGTTTTATAGTAGATGTAAATTAAATCATCCACACTCTTTCTAATGACACTAATTTCGTTAAATTCGGTTGATCCAAACCAAAGTTATAGGTATTTATCCACAAATACTTTCCCACTTTCCCCCACCCTTTATTGGAATAATTAAAAAAAAAAGTACTTGAACACTTTGTGCGTAATGTAGGCCTCTTTCTACTTTACTTATTTAACACTTGGTATAATTGGGAATATTTCACAAAAAACTGGTTTTCAAATTTTTCTTCACAGGTTGCGCCCCCTAGCGGTAAACCCAGAAACTTTTAAAGTTATTTCCAGCGATTTCTCTTGGCAACTTTTACTAAGGAATTTTTTCTCCTAAAGTCATAACATGAATAGTTTCTGATATATAGCACCACCTGGTACAAATTAACTTTCTCAATTTGTATGTTTCTCTGATTATGGTGCTAAGATAGTTGTAATTCTCGACTTGTTTAAAAGTTTTCCGTTAACTGAACTTGTATTCATTATTTTGTGATGACTTTGAAATCTTCATAAATTTTGTTTTCTTGATATTTATTCTTTGCGTGATCAATTATCTTGTTTATTAGTCTCTGCCAATCTTCGAAAGTTTCTGCCAAAATAACAGTATCATCCTCATACCTAATGTTGTTAATAGGTGTTTCATTCACGTTTATTCCAGCAGTTTCTCAATCAAGAGTCCTTCTGAAAATTTGTGTAGAATATGTATTGAAGTGAAGTGGTGACAGCACGCAGCCCTGTCTCACTCTTCTTTTAATTGCATACAAAAGTAGAAAATTAACTTTCAGAATTACTTTTTGTCTTGATGTTTCTCTCTTTAGATTAAAAATTTGAGAGGTTAATAATTATCATTTAAAATTAATTTTTATTTAACTAAATGTCTATATATTTTGTAGGTTTTGGTCAAGCTAGACCAGCTCAGCCAGATTACCGACAAATGAACCAAAATCCTCGCGCACCATACATGCAGCAAGCTCCTAACGTCACTATGAACACCAACATGAGCTCAATGGCGGGTATGACTGGTCAGGGAGTAGCCGCCCCGCCCTATTCGCGTACAGCTGCACAAGGTATGCAATCCAACGTACAAAATCAATCGCAATTCCAACAGCAACAACAAAGGATGAGATTAATGGCAATGCAACAGCAACAGCAGCAACAACAACAACAAGGGGGACCGCAAGGTAATCAGCCATCACCAGCTCTAGTGGCTCATTTGCAAAGGCAGCAGCAGATGAATCAGAATCCATATCATCAGCCACCACCTTACAATATGCAATAAATCCACAGAGTTTTGGAAAATGAAATGTAATGAATTAAAAACAAACCCTTTAATCGCAAACTCAACATTTTTAACTTCACATGTCTTTATTCTCTTTATATTTAAAAACTGAAAAAATTACGAGCTCCATGAATTTATTTGTTGAATGAAAAGTATCAAGACAGCATTTTTACTCTATGCGTGATAGAAAACAAATTCAATTACGAAGAAATATGATTTTAAGAACTTAAAATCGTTCAAGTGATTACAAAACATTTAAAAAATTTTAAAATGTCTTTTTTGTTTTTTTTTACAAGAAGAAATTGTGATCTTTTTGTGTCCTAATTCTTAGAGTATTGTTTTTTATCGATTTAATGTTTTAATAGATTTAATTTTATTTATATAATAAACTTTTAGAAGTAGAATTCCTTTAATTTTTTAAAATATTAATTATGTACTTCTTAATCCAATTGAAAACAGGTGGGTAAACTGAAAATAAGTTGGCCGTAATATAATATGTCCAAAAATTGTTATAGTCGGTTCACAATTTATCGATAGGTCACTACAAGTTTAGCCCTAATTAGAGAACTGAAATACAGAGAGGATAGGTAATACAATATAATACTAAAAACCAACCTGAACCTGATGGTTTAAGATGTTTTCGACTAACCCACCTTCTATTTGAAGGAATACAGCAATCAACCTTATAATCCAATTACGAAAGACCAGTGTCGTAGAGTATATGATTGAAACATTTATTTGAACTAAATAAATATATTTTTTAAATTGTATTTTTGTTTTAATAAAACGTCTTTATTTTATTCAAAAATAAAAAGTTTCTTGCCGTTTGTAAAAGATACATTTATTTAATTAAGGGGAAAGGCTCCAAATGTCGCCTGGCAAAAGTTTCAATGTGTTTTAAATGTATCCATTATTTTCGAATCCGAAGAAAACTAATAAATATTTTTGAAAAATTTAAACGCAGAATGAAAGATTACATTATTACTGAGGGTAGAAAGTCCCTGAAAATTTCTACAATGTTTATTTTAATATGTTATGTAACAGGGGTGAAAATAAAAGAGAAAATATAGTATAATTTTTAATTGAAATATTGCATGCAAAAGAAACTTTTTATTTATTCTAATAAATATTTCATTCTGCCTTTAAATTTTTCAAAAATGCTTTTTAGTTTTCTCATGATTTGAAAAAAAATGGATACATTTAAAACACATTAAATATTTTGACGAGCGATATTTTGCGCCTTTTTCCTTTAATTAATACCTTACGACTACAACTACTATTACTTACCTTATATAATTACGGTTAGAAAACTATTCAAATTCAAAATAAATAGGATGAACTTCGGAATCAGAGTCGTCGTGAGGGTTAATAATTAGCGGTTGTGTCTCTACGGTCGCATCAATTATGTTATCAAGATCCCACATTTTTTGTTCTTCTATTACATGTCTTACTGCATCTTTCCAGTTTTGTTCTGTAATATGTTGTAAAGACTCGTATAACAATTCACGTACAGCTTGTATTTTATATGACGTATTAGCCACATAACTTTTCATTTGTGCCCAAATGAGTTCAATTGGATTTACTGTGATGTTTCACCTTTCCGCCATTTTGTCAACTACGTATTTCTTGAACTTAGATTAGTGTTGCCGGGCAATTTTTAAAAGTTCTTCTTTTACCATTCCATCTTCGTAAGGCAGATACTTATTCCGCAGCCAGTCAAGAATATCCTGTTTCTTCCACGCAGTCGTTGGAAGTCTTTCTACTAGTCGTGAATGATGAATTATCCATTATAAGTAATTCACTATATACAATATAGTGAAAGACATTAACATTTTGTACAATCTGTAGGTGTTTAACTTTGTTTTTTATATTTTGTTCCGTCGCTAATAACCTTTTGGTGGATGCGACATCTTTTTCTAATAAAAAAAAGATGCATTGCGTTTCCAGTTTCCACTCATTCTTACAATCCTCCTTAATATCACGCATGTTAATATAAATATATATATATATATATATATATATATATATATATATATATATATATATATATATATATATATACGTAGTATCTTACATCGATAATTCGTATTCTGGTTCACCTGTAACCATCAGTCAATCATAGAATTATGGATAATGTCAGAATTATCGTTGGTTTATAGGAAATATTTTAAATAAAAATGAGGAACTATATAGAAACGAATGATTTATTTTCATATAAAAAATAACAATACAAAAATAACAAATAAACCTTAACTTCTTTAAAAAATGTAAAACATAGTATTAAAATTTGTATATTAAATTTAAAAAAACAGATAGAAAAGAAATATGAAAAAAATTTATTCACTTTCAAAATGAGTATAATTGCATGGTCGACATGTTTGTATGATGTTGTTGAATCAATCACGTTTGGCGTAACATCAAGATTTTGGCATTAGCCATTTATACTTTAAAATGCCCATAAAAGTGAATGTTTTCTTAACAAATTTAATACAAAATTTTCTAATTCTTTGAATATATACACACTAGACATATTATGAATTTGAGAAATTTTATACCAGTAATTATCAGTGTTTCATGATGAATGTACTCGTCCAATTCTTAACGGCAATATAGGTGCCATTGATCAATTTTTTTAATCACCTGATGGTTTATGAGTCCACAATTTGATGTACTAATTTTATCAGTGGAAAATTTATTCCGGTTTTGGTTTACAGTAGCAGTTTTCAAATATTTTGATATAATGTCTTTAAAATCAATCCTTAACAACTGCGGTCACAATTGAAAATTTACCACACCTTATAAAAAAACCTTGGTATGTTTTGTGTAATTCCTAGATTTCTTTTAACACTATATATTTGTTTAAGATCAATGAATTGATTAGAATTATATGTATTAATTTCACATAATTATATTAAAAAAGTGTGTAAGATATTTTTCAAAACTGATCTAATATTGTCTGCTAAAAATCTTTAGTGCTGTAATATTTGCTAAAAATCTTTAGTGCTGTAATATTTGCTAAAAATCTTTGATAGTGACCTAAAACGTTTAGTCCAAATTTCATTACAAAAATTTATGATTAACAGGTATCCTCAGAACACATCACACGCATTGTTGGGTCAATTTATTAACTGCTTTCATTGCAAACGTGTATTGTATATCATATAAAAATATATTTCTTCAACTCTACTATTCCCTTCCAGCTCAGCCCTCAAACAGTGAAAATTCTCAAAGTAAAAATGAAAGGCCATTTTTTTTTAGTATAATTAGCCTGTAAAAATCTCAAAAAAATCATATCCAGAGGTGGCTTGCTCATTTCCAGATGTCAGGTAGACAAAAGGTAAATCCGTATCTCAGGTCACGCATGACAGTTTAGGCTGAATATAAGAGCACGTATACAAGACCAGAGGTAGAATTATGAATAAAAAAATGTTGTTTAATAAGGGACAAAAGAATAATATAATAAATGGATGAAGATAAATGACAAAAGATAAACGAAATGAACAGTTGGCTAGCAGTGTGTATTCTTAAGTTCCTTTTTAAATGTCCTACTTGATTAAATTGTTTAAAACAAATTTCAAACTTGTAAGGCTTTTCTCGTGTGTAATCTTAAGTGTTTTTTCAAATCGCCTGTTTTACCAAATTGCTTAAAACAAATTTCACACTTGTCAAGCTTTTCCAAAGTATGTAATCTTAAGTGTTTTTTCAAATTACCTCCTTCACTAAATTGTTTAAAACAAAATTCACACTTGTAAGGCTTCTCCCCAGTGTGTATTCTTAAGTGTTTTTTCAAATCGCCTGTTTTACCAAATTGCTTAAAACAAATTTCACACTTGTAAAGCTTTTCCCCAGTGTGTAATCTTAAGTGTTTTTTCAAATTACTTGCTTCACTAAATTGCTTAAAACAAATTTCACACTTGTAAGGCTTTTCTCCAGTGTGTATTCTTAAGTGTATTTTTAAATGGCCTACTTGATTAAATCGTTTAAAACAAATTTCACACTTGTAAGGCTTATCTCCAGTGTGTATTCTAAAGTGTTTTTTTAAATTGTCTGCTTTACTAAATTGCTTATAACAAATTTCACACTTGTAAGGCTTTTCCCCAGTGTGTGATCTTAAGTGTTTTTTCAAACTACCTGCTTCACTAAATTGCTTAAAACAAATTTCACACTTGTAAGGCTTTTCCCCAGTGTGTGATCTTAAGTGTTTTTTCAAATTACCTCCTTCACTAAATTGTTTAAAACAAAATTCACACTTGTAAGGCTTCTCCCCAGTGTGTATTCTTAAGTGTTTTTTCAAATCGCCTGTTTTACTAAATTGCTTAAAACAAATTTCACACTTGTAAGGCTTTTCCCCAGTGTGTGATCTTAAGTGTTTTTTCAAACTACCTGCTTCACTAAATTGCTTAAAACAAATTTCACACTTGTAAGGCTTTTCCCCAGTGTGTGATCTTAAGTGTTTTTTCAAATTACTTGCTTCACTAAATTGCTTAAAACAAATTTCACACTTGTAAGGCTTTTCTCCAGTGTGTATTCTTAAGTGTATTTTTAAATGGCTTACTTGATTAAATTGTTTAAAACAAATTTCACACTTGTAAGGCTTATCTCCAGTGTGTATTCTAAAGTGTTTTTTCAAATTGTCTGCTTTACTAAATTGCTTAAAACAAATTTCACACTTGTAAGACGTTTCTCCAGTGTGAAATCTTAAGTGTTTTTTCAATCTACCTGCTTCACTAAATTGCTTAAAACAAATTTCACACTTGTAAAGCTTTTCCCCAGTGTGTAATCTTAAGTGTTTTTTCAAATTACTTGCTTCACTAAAATGCTTAAAACAAATTTCACACTTGTAAGGCTTTTCTCCAGTGTGTATTCTTAAGTGTATTTTTAAATGGCCTACTTGATTAAATTGTTTAAAACAAATTTCACACTTGTAAGGCTTATCTCCAGTGTGTATTCTAAAGTGTTTTTTTAAATTGTCTGCTTTACTAAATTGCTTATAACAAATTTCACACTTGTAAGGCTTTTCTCCAGTGTGCACTCTAAAGTGTATTTTCAAATCATATGCGTTACTGAATTGTTTACAACAAATTTCACACCTGGAAGACTTTTCTCCGGTATGAGTTTCCAAATGACATTTTAAATGATCACTCCGAGAAAACGGTTTGTTTAAATAACTTTTATGGCCAAGTTGCTTAATGCAAATTTCACATTTTTTTTCTTCGCCTGATTGAATCACACATTCTTTGTTACATGTATGTAGAGATATTGTTTCCATAATTTCCAATGTGTTTTCCTCTATGAGAGAGCCTAAAATAAAGAAAAATGTTTAATACAACAGAAGAGAATAAACTCGTGTTGATTAGCATAACATACATTTTATGATTTCTAAAATATCAATTGAAATGAA